ATGCAAATTCTTTCTATCCTATCTCAGAAACAGAAAAGGGAATATTTTTAAAACCAGCTTGTTATAAAATTCAGTTAACATTAGTGGGACAATGGACAAAATTGGATTGTGAACTGGAGACTAGGTGGAAGGATGAAATCTCTGTTGAAATACTTTGTGTCAGATAATATGCTGTGGTTATGTATGAGAACATTTCTGTTCATAGGCATTTTTCCCTTAAGTATTAGTAATAAGGGTCAGAGGGTGATCATGATATAGACAAGCTATTTTCAAATGGTTCCAAACAGAATAAGATGTATGTATGTGTGTGGCTATACACTACACAAATACATGCATATGCTACTACTGTGAAATGCCATTGAGTCGATTCCGACCCATAGTGATCCTGTATAGGGTTTCTGAGGAGCAGCTGGTGATGGAGAGGGAGAAAATGAAACAGCAGATGTTCACATATACAACTCTAGTAGTCATCAGAGTAGTGGGTGTTGTTCTTACTGTTCCCACAACTTCTCTCTCAGTGAGAAGTTATTTCAAAATCAAAATTTTTATAAATCCAGGCAGTTATATCTCTCCCACCACTTCTGCTGTTGGGGTCTTAGCCCCCCCCCCAGGAGGGATGACGTGTCCTGGTGTCCTCCTGTGATGACCCACTGGAAAACCCCCTACCCTCCATACAGTTAACATGAAAGAGCCATATGAAATATGCATGAAGATAAACTTCTGAATGATTTCCCTTTAAGAAAGATTGCTCCCTTCAAAGATAGTCATCTGAATTTATATACAACGTAAAACAAATGATAGTTTCCCTGGCAGTGCAGGGGTTAAGTCAGAAAGGTCAGCAGTTCGAACTCACTAGCCACTTCTAAGAGAAAGACCAGCCAGTCTGCCTCCATAGAGATTACAGCCTCAACACCCTATAGGGCAGTTCTCCTCTGTCTGACAGGGTGCCGATGAGTTGGAATTGACCTGCAGGCAATAAGTTTTACATATCAAAAATTTCAACTAAGTCCTTTAATAGCCTTTAATTACCTGCAGAAAATATCAGTGATATTTTCTCCTTCTCATGAAAGAATCAGGATAATTTTTTTTGGATTTTCATCATATGATATACGATAAGAGGTTAAGAAGCTTCCAGATTCAGTAGCTGAAAACCTGAATATATACATGAATGCTTTTACCCTTACCTTCCTAGTGGTTTCAAATTCGTTTTTCTGAACTCTTACTCAAGTTTATTATTTTTTTAAATCTTATTTTATCTGAAGAGTTTACTTAAAGGAGCTCTGGTAGTATAGTGGTTATGAGTCGGGCTGCTAGCCTCAGTGTCAGCAGCTGGAAACTACCAGCCATTCTGCGGGAGAAAGATGAGGCTTTCTGCTCCTGTGAAGATTTACAGCTTCAGAAACCCTATGCAGGGTCGCTATGAGTCAGAACCAACTCACAGCACATAACCACCAACCACCAAGGAGATTTCCACCAAGTTGCTTTTCTTCTTTGTTATATAAATGGATTGCCATCACCTTATTCTATAAAGGGCTTCAAAATGTTTATAGAAAAATTCCATTATCTGATACTCCCTAGTATTTGGCTGCCACACACAGCAAAAGTTGTTCGCAGTTCAGACTGGGAGGCCCCACAGAGCTGGGTATGGGCAAGTTAGTTGGGAAAAGCAGACACTTTTTAAAGTTAGAAACTTAAAAAACACTCCCCTCTCAAAAGTGGGAAATTCAGAAATCTCTCCATCGGGACTGATACAACCTTTCAGTTGACTGTGTTAGTGGTTCTAGAGGGGCAAGAAAGGTGCCCATGGTTTAAGCTTTGGGCTGGTTAATTGTAGGATGGGCAATTCAAACCCACTAGCAATTCCTGGGAGAAAGGTAAGGCATTCTTCTTCCTGTAAAGATTTATACCCTCAGAAACGCTACACAGGGCCTCTATGAATTGGAACGGACTCGATGGCAGTGTATTTGGTTTTTGTGTTTATCATCATCATCTCATCATCAAGTGTCCTAGTGGCACAGCAGGTTAAGCACTAGTATGCTAACCAACAGTTTGATGGTTCACACCCACTGGCTACTTCATGGGAGAAAGATGAGACAGTATTGAATAATTAAGATGTATAGTCTCAGAAACCTATAAAATTGCTGAGTCAAAACTGACTGGAAGTCAAAATTGACTGGAAGGCAATGTGTTTGGCATTTTTAAGGTAGGAAAAGACCCAAGGAGGGGGCTCGGACGTAGGGAAACCAGCCAGGGACTGACTCTCAGAATGGGCATCTGTCTGCAGAGGGGCCCCCAGTCACAGTCACCTGGCAGTCCTTGAGTAAGGGAGTGTTCCATGCTCCAGTGTTAACAGGGCAATGCTAGCCCCTAGCAGGCTGTGAGTCCAGTAGGCTTGTTTTGAATCCAGTCACTGCCAGTGTTTGTGATATAAGACTCCCGTTGCTGATTCAAGCAATGGTGAGGGCACTGCTGGGAGAATTGGTTACTATCCATAGACTGAAAGCAATAGTTGCTATTTCTATTAACATCCACAGATCTTTTGGTCTTTCAAACCAGGCATCCAGATGGTTGGGTGGTGCAAATAACTAATGTTAACCAAAAGGTTGGAGGCTGGCGTCCACCCTGGTGTTAGAAAACCAGCCTTTGAAAATCCTAAGGGACACAGTTCTACTCGACTGCACATGGGGTCATCAAACACTGGAGAACACTTGCTATCATATAGTATCCCTATCATTAGATCCTTCTACAGGCCTCACAAGTTCAAATACTTGCTTACAGGAGCCAGAAACTTTCATGTAGCCTGGACTGGAGGCAGATATTCTGGTCCTCCAGTAGCTATTGAGTAGAAAATGTTCACAGGCACAAAACCAACTCAGCAAAAGGCAATGCATCCTTCTGGGGTAATCAGGAGAGATCTCACACAACTGCCAACCATTGTCATTGTTCTGTTACAACATGGATGTGTCAAATTATATGTTATCTATCCAGGAAATCATGAATAACCTGAACAGGAGCAAATGAAAAACTCATTTGGTAGTCAAAACTGACTTGACAAGCAAGTTAATTCTCCCAGGCCACAGTCAGGAATGTGACAGATAAAGAGGCTTGCCACAAGGTCCATGTATTAGACACAATCTTTGTTTACCTAAACAGAGGGGGTTACACTTTAGGCCTTTAATAACCACGTTCTGACATGCCCTCACAAAGACCTTAGATGTTGGGCAAGATGAAGTTTAACTTCATGTTAGAAGTGGAGGTGGTGGTTATGTGTCTTGGAATCAGTTCTGACTCACAGTGACCCTGTACAGGGTTTCCGAGGCTGTAAATCTTTACGGAAGCAGAAAGCCTCATTTTTCTCCCATGGAACAGCTGGTAGTTTCGAACTACTGACCTTACGGTTTGCAGCCTGATTCATAACCACTACACTACCAGAGTTCCTTTGATGTTAGAAGTAGTACAGTAGAAAAGATTTAGGTTCCCCTGAAAGATCTCTGGTGACTGTGGGTTAAACATTGGGATGCTAACCATCAAGCCGGCAGTTCAAACCCATCAGATGCCCCATGGAATAAAGATGAGGCTGTCTGTCCCTGTAAAGATTTAGTCTCAGCAATCCTATACAGAGTCTCTATGGTTTGGAAAAGACATGATAGCAGTGGCAGGCGATCTGGTGACACAGTGGTTTAAGCACTGGGTTGTGAACCACAAAGTCCGGGGGTTCAAACCCACCAGCTGCTCTATGGGAAACTGATGAAGCAATCTGCTCCTGTAAAGACTGACCACTTCGGAAAGCCTAGGGAGCAGTTCTACTCTCTCTCACAGGGTCACTGGGAGTCAGAATCGACTGGATAGCAGTGGGTGGCATAGCAGGAGACCTGACTGTCTCACAGATGCAAAGTAGAACAAGTATACCAGCTGCAAGCAGCATTTCCTAATAGCTGCAGGACAGTCATGGAGAGTGGCCACTGACCACATTTTAGTAGCCAAAACACAAGAACAAAACAAATGCAAATTAAACTTATAATAATGGATTAAGCAGTGGACTGCTAACCACAAGGTCATCAGTTCAAACCCACCAGCTAGCTATTACATAGGAGAAAGATGAGCTGTCTGCTCCCATAATGACAGACAGTCTCAGAAACCCTATGGAGTAGCTCTTCTTTGTCCTATAGGGCTGCGATGAGTCAAATTGACTCAAAGGAAGTGGGTCTGTTCTCTACTTTTGGTCTGAGTGTCTACTCCCAGGTATACAACCTTTAGAATATTTGTTTCCAGGACTCCAAGCATGGTACCCGTTCTCAACAGCTCCCTCCCACAGTGAGAATGGCACTTTTCTTCAGGCTGGTCTCAGCCCCTGCTCTCAAATCCCTTCACTCTGTGAGTTTTGGGGACCCTCCCAGCCCATTCGTCATCACATGCTCTGGTGTCTTGACAAGGAACCTCGCTGCTCTATACATCTCTCACAGCTGGGCTCATGGGAGGGGCGACCTGGTATGTTATTTCTGTGGAGCCAATTCCTGTCTCCTGGTAACCTTACATGTGTCAGAGTAGACTATTTTTAGAAGGGCAATCCCCAGGTCTTTCTTCGGAGGCACCTCTGGACAGACTGGTACCTTTCTTTCAGTTCGTAGTCCATCACACTCACTCTCTGCATCACCCCAAACCAAATCTAAACCAAACTTATGACTGTCCCTTAAGGTTAGGGAAACAGATTGCCTCATCCTTCTCCTTAAGTGGCTGATGGGTTCAAACTGCCGCTCAGATGAGCGCTTTTACCCACTGTGCTGCCAAAGTTCCTGCCAGGGCCTCAGAGATCCTTTAGGTTTAGTGAATGAATGAAAAGAAAACCCTGCCCACTCCCACAACTGAGCCATTAGAGTTACAGCTAGTTACAGTTTTGCAAACCTTTACTAGTACAGATTCTTCAAGGCAGGTACACAGCCCCCATGTAGCCTGAGGTACCTGCTGAATGGGCTTGGATCTATTGAGGGCACTTCTCACTGTGTGCGGTTCTCTCTGTCAGCTCCAGCTCTCACAAAATGACACACTGGATGAACTGGCTTATCCTCTCGCTCCTTGTAACGGCTGCATGTGGCAAGAGCACGGGCCCAGGTGAGCAGCCTGAAGAAAGTGGAGAGCCTAAAAAGCTGGTCGATCCTCAATGGGGGCAACTGGCCAATGCCTCCCTGGGCTTGCCCCTCCTTGCTGCCAACTTCCACAAGGAGAATACGGTCACCAATGTCTGGATGGAGGAGGGCGAGGAGGATGAGGACTACCTGGACCTGGAGAAGCTCCTGAGTGAAGATGATGACTACATTGACATCATCGATGCAGTCCCACCTGTGGACCCAGGGGCCAGTGCAGGCAACATCCTTCAGCTCTTCCATGGCAAGAGCCGCATCCAGCGTCTCAACATCCTCAACGCCAAGTTTGCCTTCAATCTCTATCGAACCCTGAAGGAGCAGGCCAGTACATCTGAGAACATCTTTGTGGCACCCGTTGGCATCTCCACAGCCATGAGCATGATCTCTTTGGGCCTCCAAGGGGAGGCTCACAAGCAAGTACACTCGGTCTTGCACTTTAAGGATTTTATCAATGCCAGCAGCAAGTATGAGCTGCTGACAGTGCACAATCTCTTCCGAAAGCTCACACACCGCCTCTTCAGGAGGAACTTTGGGTACATGTTGCGGGCAGTCAACGACCTTTATGTCCAGGAGCAGTTCCCGATCCAGCAGGACTTCAAAACCAAAGTGGAGGAGTATTACTTTGCGCAGGCTCAGCCGGCTGACTTTGCAGACCCAGCTTTCATCACAAAAACCAACCATCATATCCTAAAGCTCACCAAGGGCCTCATCAAAGATGCTCTAGAGAATGTAGACCCAGCAACACAAATGATGATTCTAAACTGCATCTACTTTAAAGGTAAGAGAAATGGCCTTGTATTCCCCGAAGCAAAGTTATAGTAATGCTCTTCTAGGACATAGGTGTGGCTTGAGTGCCCGAATCTAGCTATCATTTATCCATGAGAGTAAGCCCACAGTCACTTCACAGACTTGGAGTCATAGATGGCCATGAAAAGGTAGCACCAGCAGCTAGCATTTACTGAGCTCTTCCTCTATGCTTGAAGATCACAGTGTCATCCTTGTACTCCCAGGGTACACAGCTGGTAAGCAGTGAGGCCAAGAGGGGACAGAGGTAGGCCATCTCTGGTGTGTCAACTTTTAGCCAATTTGTGAAAGTGGAAGAAACAATGCAAAACCCTGGGTGCATTTGGCCAAATGGATTTGAGGGTTTTTATCTGACCCTTTCTCCTATTTTTGGTAAACAGGCATATGGATAAAAGGCTGAACAAAGGTGTCAAAAACCATTCAGCTCCAGCAGCTGATTTGAAGACCTGCAGATCTTTCCCCAGTACTTTTGCTGTAATAGGTGGGGTGGGAAAATAAAGGAATATTCTCATACTAACTATTCTGGCCAATTACCAAGGAGAGCCACACCCTAGCAGGACCCATGGGATCCTAAGAAGAAAGGGGTATAGGTTTATAAAGATCAGAATCTCTCCTTAGCAAAACCCTCAGTGAGACCTGAGCCCAAAGCAAGCACAAGAGGCTGGGAAGCAGATGTACACAGTAGGTGTACATTGGAACTAGTCGCCATGACACACAACTGTTTCTCCTCACACTAAGATATACCAGGTCAGAATCTGTGGTCAATCCCTGAGGTTTCCAGGGACTGATGGTTCCCTGGCTAGTGAGTTTCAACACAGTTTTACATAGGCTGAGGGATGGGAAGATCAAAGCCTTACACTGGCTTCTAATCTGGGGCAGTGGGTTCAGAGACCCTCATGACTGGTAGACACACTTTGCTGAAGGCCAGAAAGACAAACTGGGCTGAAGAAGGAATGGCCTGAAGGGGGAGACTAGAACCCAGTGCTTCCCCAACACCAATCTCTGGGCAGGGTAGAACCACAAACTAAATCTGTCACAGGTTTCTGAGGCAGGCAGGCAGACACAGACACGCCATATAGATCTGTTACACATAAAATAAACCAGTTGCCACCACGCTGACTATGACTCATGGTATGTCCGAGTAAAACTGTGCTCCATAGGGTTTTCCATGGCTGGAGATTGCCAGGCTCTTCTTCCAAGGCACTTTTGGGTGAGTGCTGAGTTGTTAGTGCCTTCCACAGACTCTATGATAAGCATATATGTACCCTCTCAGTTACTATTACAAGTGTAAGCTCTAGAACCTCCATCCCAGACTCATCATTTCTTATCTGTGTCACTCACTTCAGGGTGAGGTACTCACTTTCTATGTCTCCACTTTCTCAACTTGGTCACGAAGATGAGAATTCCCGACAGGGTTATGGGGGATGATGGTGCCAGGCTAGAGCAGAGCACCGTAACTGGGGTGAGCTCCAGGGACTCGAGGGAGGTTAGAACACGAGTGTGTTGTTGTTGTTAAGTGCCATCAATTCGGTTCCAACTCATAGCAACCCTGTATAGGGTTTCCAAGGAGTGGTTGTTAAGTTCGAACCACAAACCTTCCAGTTCAAATTGACATTGTGGTCAACTGTTTATCCTACACCGCCACACCAGGACTCCTAGAATATGAGAGTAATGGGTACAAATGGTTACATGCTAAGGCTGGCAGTTCCAGAGGTACCTTTGAAGAAAGGCCTGGTGATCTTCCAAAACAAATCCACTGCCATCACAAGTCGATTCCAACTCATAGCAGCAATCCTCTATTTCTGAAAAGTCAGCTGGTGAACACCCCATGGGGGTGCAGGTCTCTTCTGACACACACAGGGGCACCAAAAATTGGAGTATACAAGATGTAACTGGAGTCCTGGTGTGTGTGATGCTATGGGTTAACGTGCTGCACTATAAGCTTGGTTTGAAATTCAAGGTCGGTGGTTCAAGTTCACCAGCTAATTCTCAGAAATACTATACAGAGTTGCTATGGGTCAGAACCAACTCAACAGCAACAACAACAACAACAGATGTAACTGGTGGCAATTTTAATATTAAGTATACATGCTAATTCTAACAGTATTTTTTGACTTCTAGGAGCAATCACTCTGTCTAGGAGTATCTTCTGAGTGGGCCAGTGGGAGTCATTTTAGCAGTGCTGAGCCCCTCAGTCCCAGGAGTCTTTAAGGTGTCCTTGACACATTGGAGAGCCTACATATTATAGCTGAGGTGCAGGCAGAGGACAACAGCAGCAAGCAGCCCTGCCATCAAGGGGCTGGCAATACAACTAGGCAGGGTCAGTTTATGATCTCCTGACCAGAGGAACTAGTTAGTGCGGTGGGTTAAACATTAGGCTGCTAATTGCAAGGTCAGCAGTTCAAACCCACCAGCTGCTCTGTGGGAGACAGATGAGGCTGTCTGGTACTGTAATGACTGACAGTCTCAGAAACCCTAAGGAGCAATTCTACTTTGTGCTACAGGGTCACTCTAAGTAGGAATTGACTTGATGGAATGATTTGGGTTTTGGAATCATGCTAGTAGCAACCAATCTTTCGTGAATGCTTGCCAAAGGAGGGGAGAGTCGAGAAGGGTTCACTGAATCTCTAGCTCCCAGATCTGCATGACTAATTTGGTTTTCATTTTAAATGTTATAACCACCTTGGAAGCCACAACAAAAAGAGGTAAACACCCAGGAGAAGCGTGACAGTTTCATCCAAGAACTGGGTAGAACTGGGATTCATCATCAAGGGAAAGTTTTCTCCTAGGGAAAATACTGGAAACATTTCTTTGGCTGTAACACGCCTGGAAAACCCTTAGAATGAGGATGGTGAGACCAACTTATGGACTTTAAACATACCATCAGGTGGGATTAGTCCCTAGAGAAGGACATCTTTCCTGATAAAAGTGTAGGGCCAGTGAAAAAGAGGAAGACCCTCAATGAGACAGACTGACACATTGGCTGTAACGATGGTGAAGATGGCCTGGGACCAGACAGTGTTTCATTCTACTGTGTCACTACAAGTTGGAGCTGGCTTGAGGGCACCTAACACCACAACAACTCTTGGGACTTAAGGACAGTACTGCTAGTGTTAATGCACAGTGCATCCCTCAACAGTAGAGATCTAGCCCCCAATGTCGTCAGTGCTAGAAGCAGAGACTCAGGGAGACAGCAGCCCAGTACTACCACAGCCAGGTAGGTCACTGGAGGACCCAGACCTTCTCCCAAGGAACCTTTTGCTCATTTCATCCAGATGCTCAACGTAACAGTTAAACTTTGAACATGCAATTTCATTTATTTAAGCCTCTGTTACCTCAATTGTAAAATGGAGACAGCAGTAAAAAGTCCCGATTTCAGACAGGAAAAAATGAGATAATATAGGTATGGCAGTCATCTCACAATACTTAACGAGAAACTGGACTATATGAAGAATGCAACATCAGGACTGGAGAAAAGCTCATTAAATACCTGGAATATGCAGATGGCATAACCTTGCTTGCTGGAAGTGAAAAGGCCTTGAAACACACTTACTGATGTAGATCAAAGACTACATGCAGCCTTTGGTATAGATTATACCTCAAAGTAAAAAAAATAAATAAATAAATAAATAAATAAAATCCTCAAAACTGGACCAATAAGTAAACATCATGATAAACAGATAAAATTGAAGTTGCAAGGATTTTATTTTACTTGGACCCACAATCAATGTCCATGAAGGCAGCAGCTAAGAAATTGAACAATGGGCTGCTCTCAGTGGCAGGCCTGGGGAAGGGACAGCAAGCACCATGTTTGGCCGTAGCAAGAGGCCCCCGATACAACCCAAGAAACAGAACAAGGAAATGGATGTAGAAGATAAGGTTTTCATGACTGAGGGTCAGTACATGGTCACAGAGTGTTAGAAATGAAAACTTCACACAGGACTACAATGAGCTCAAGCTGCACAGCAAAAAGAAAAGCAGAAGAAACTCAAGGAGCTAAAAGTGAAGGCCATGGAGAAGGGCCCCTATCCGCAGGTAGAATTAAGAAATCTGCCAACAAAGAAGTTATTCATAGTGACTGAGAGGTTATGGTGATCCTTGAATCTTTTCCTTCTTAAACATTTGAATTCCCTGCTATCATATCTCTTGCCAAATATAGTTAGAATGAAGTGTTGTCTTGGAGCATGTTGCAAATTTAAGAATAAATTTTTGTTAAAGAGAAAGCAATCATACAATGTCCATCTCTTTAGTCCTATCTTAGCTGTGTGGTAAAAGAAAACTCAGCCCAGAACCCTGCCTAAGCTGCTCTTCAGTTTTTGTTATGCCTAGAATTCTGCATCACCTGGAATTAAAGTAATTCATTTTGAGAGAAAAAAAAGGAAAGAAATCAAACAACGTATTACATCGAGCAAATCTGCGGCAAAAGACCTCAATAAAGTGTCAAGAGCTAAAATATCATCTTAAGAATTAAGGTGCAACTGCCCCAAGTCATGGTACTTTTAATTACCTCAAAGGCATTTGAAAGTTGGATAACGAATAAGAAAGACCGTAGAAAAATTATGGTGTTGTGGATAAATAATGAATATACCATGGGCTGCCAGAAGAAATAACAAACCTGTGTTGGAAGAAGTACAGACAAAGTGCTCCTGGAGAATCAAGGATGGTTGAGACTTCATCTCACATACTTTGGACATTGTATCAGGAGGGCCTGGACTCAAATGAAGTATCAATGGTAAGAATGGCACATAACTGTCTAAGTGTTGTGTTCAGTTGAGGCCTTTAAGTTGGAACTGGCTTCATATCACGACCACAGTCTCTTAGACACTATTTTCTGACCTAAAATGGATAGGAAGGAGTTTCAAAAAGTTGGTAGGAAAGTTGAATGAATAAATAATGGACTTTTTTCAAGAATTAAAAAATAATAACAAAAAACCCTTATAGCCACTTAGTCCTGGATGTTGTTGTTGTTAAGTGCTGTCGAGTAGGTTCCAATTCACAGAGATCCTGTATAGGGTTTCCAAGGAGCAGCTAGTGGGTTTGAACCACCAACCTTATGGTTCAAACTGACCTTTATCCTGCAGCACCACACCAAGACTCCTATTCCTGGATACACAGCACTATATCCAAATCCAAAGTAAAGTCCTTGATAGCAATCATCACTGAGTGTGATGTACATGGTCACAGAGTGTTAGAGATGAAAACGATCACACAGGGTGACAATGAACTCGAGCTACACAGTTTACAAATGAAGTAGAGGCCCAAGCTAGTGAAGCATCTTACCAGAGTCCAAAATAAATCACTAATGAGAGTGAGCGATCATCCCAGAGTACACTGCAGGCCATTTAATCTCACTGCCATTACTCTGAATTAGCATTCTCACCTAGGAATCCTCTCAGGCAGGGGTCTCAAAGTGTGGTACCACTAGGGAGATTCTCAGCTGTCCCATACGTGCTGAGTCAGATTTGGAGAGTAGGAGATGAATGGAGAGGCTGTAGCCTGCATTTCAACAAACTTCAGTGAGTCCAGGGATTCTGGTGCTGAACTGAGAGCAGGAACCAGTGCTATAAAGTGGCATCTTAACAGAAGCTTGCTTCTGGCAAATTCACAGGCTCGTGGGTGAAGAAGTTCCCTGTGGAAATGACGCACAACCACAACTTCAGGCTGAACGAGCGCGAGGTAGTTAAGGTGCCCATGATGCAGACCAAGGGGCCCTTCCTGGCAGCAAGTGACCAGGACCTGGACTGTGAGGTCCTCCAGTTGGAATACGTGGGAGGGATCAGCATGCTCATTGTGGTCCCCCATAAGCTGTCTGGCATGAAGACCCTCGAAGCACAGCTGGTGCCCCTGGTGGTGGAGCGGTGGCAGAAGAGCATGACCAACAGGTACTGAGGGCTGGGTATACGACTTCTCATTTATCTGGGGGGCAGAAAGGAGCCCTAGTGGCACAGTGGATTAAGTGTTGGGCTGTTAACCAAAAGAACAGTGGTTCAAACCCAATAGCCACTCTGAAGGAGAATGAAGCCACCTGTTACTTTAAAGATTTTCATTCTCAGAAACCCTAAGGAGAAAGTCTACTCTGTCCTAAAGAGTCACTATGAGTTGGAACTGACTCAATGGTAGTGGGTTTTGGGATTGGGGTTAGAAATACTGGGACCTGGTTGATTTTAAGAAAAGGGAAGGAGTATGCATAACTATACAAAACTGGCCCAACTGGTGGTCTCCTAATTCAGCCCTAATTTTGTAGTTGGTGAGAGATGATCAGAAAGCATTTGTAAGAAATACATCTGTCCATAATGACCAGACAGGCGCTTCAGAATCTCTTGACAGACAATCCCAGCTTGAGCACATATTCGCATTGCTCTCTGAATACCAGGTTCATCTCCAGCAGAATGGGGACATTCCCATTACTGCTCAAGGTTGCTATGAGAAATATACAGCGTTAACAGTATTTAGCAGCTCTCAGTGCCTGGAGCCTAGGAAGTGTTTGACAAAAATGAGCTACAGAAATTTCAAGGTCCTCTTAACCCATTTAAGGAAACCCTAATTTTTCTCTATTACTTATGCCATACTTAAAACTGTAGGTTTAAAAAAGTACACTTATAAAGCCCTAGTGTGGTGCTATAGGATAAGCACTGAACTGCTAACTGCAAGGTCAGTAGTTCAAACCCATCAGTCACTCCTTGGAAATCTTATGCAGGGTCTCTATGAGTCGAGACAAACTTTATAGCATTTAGCAACAACAATAGCAAGGTTAACTACTGGAACAGAGTTTGTGGGTGGTGCAAATGGTTTATGCTTGGCAACTACAAGGTTGGTAGTATGAACCAACCTCGTGGGGCCCCAGAAGAAAGGCCTGGCTTCCATAACATAACAACAATTGAAAACCACATGGCCCACAGTTCCGCTCTGACATAAATAGCATCGTGAGTCAAAGTAGACTCAAAGGCAACAGGTTTGATATTGGTTATCAGATCACGCAGAAAAAATGGAAAAGTCATGTTTCTGTGTTTTCAAAGATGGGCTATTGTTGTCAGTTGCCATTTGTGCTCCCCAGGATTTTCAAGGCTGTGATTTTTTGGAAGCAGGTCATTAGGTGGGTTGGAACATTTCAGGACTTAATTGGTTGCATCACCTGGGACCTCTGGATATTGGCCTTGTAATCATTTCCGATTCATAGAAACCCTGATAGGATTTACGAGGAGCCGTTGGTAAGTTTGAACCTCTGAACTTGTGATTCAAATGACCTTTCTGTCCAGTGCATTATCTCAGCATAAACAATGCGTACTGGTTTCTCACAAGCTCCTCAATCACTAGTGATTCTCCTCTTACCTGTTGGGCTTCATTTCCAATATATAGTGGAAATCATGAGCATCACATCAGACATCTCTGTTAGTCGTCACATTAGAATGGACACAGCATAGCTTTCCGAGCCAGTGAAAACACTATGTTGCACATTAGACACCAGGTCTCTGATCTCAAGACCTCTCCATCCTCTTCTCTGAGCTCTCTGGGGATCTCCACCAGTGGGACACAGTCTAGGCACTTCTCCCCCTCTCTCCTTCCTCTCTTACCCACCACAGCCTCTAGGCCTCCGGCATCCTTAGGCCATGGGATAGTCCTGAGGAGACTATTCAACCTTAAAGTTGCCTGTTTGCATTTTCACCATTTTTCATATATGAATCTTGGCTTGTCAAACACAAAGCAAGCTTTTACTTCTCTCTCTCGCCCCTTGAGAGGTAGGTGCAGCTCCACAAGCTGTTGTTAATTAGGGACTGACTGAGCTGAGATCAAAATGGAGTGTTGAGCATAGTCTGTATCAAACTGATTTCAGCTCACAGTGATCATGCAGGATACTCCCCAGGGTGTCTGAGGTTGTAAATCTTTATGTGAGCACACAGCCTCATCTTTCTCCTGACTCAAAGGAGATGGTAGGTTTGAACTGCCAACCTTTCAGTCAGCAGTCCAATGCTTAACAAGGTTCTTCCTGGATATGGACAATGACCTTAATAACAAAACAAGAGATGCCCCAATACTGGGGAACCAAATGGGAGAATCTTTTCAGAGACAGTCTCAAGCTATAAACTCTATATAAACCAGGGAAAGGTTCATGGCTGGCCTTGCAAATGGACCAAATGGGACATCAGGGGATGACCACACAACAGTCACATGCCTCAATGTCCCAGAACTGGACTTATAAAAGGATGATCTTTTCAAAATCCTTAGTTGACAGCACTAGTTAAGTACAATGTCAATTCTGAGGAAATGCAGCCTAGAGGGGTTAGACTATGGTCAGGGAGACTTGTGCAACTTATTGGGGCTGAAAACCATTGAGTCCCCTTTCTTTCTATTCCAGAACAAGGGAGATTCTTCTGCCAAAATTCAAGCTGGAGAAGAATTACAATCTGGTGGAGACACTAAAGGCAATGGGGATCACAGAGCTGTTTGACAAACATGGCAATCTATCAGGAATCTCCCAGGAGAAGATCACCATCGATCTAGTAATCTCTCCCTCGGTTCCCTCTGCCCTTCCCCTACTCAGTGTTCTGAGATCCCTGGGGCTTCTCTTCCAAGGCACCACTCTCAGTTCTGCTGGGGACAGCTGGAGGAAACTCAGCCAAGCGTGCAAGGGGCAGGGTGGTCATGAGTCCACCAGTCCCACTGACATCAGAAAGAGCCCTCAGCTAGAATGAGACCCAGCCATCAGAAAGCCCCGGGAGAAACCACACTACAGGTACATTCAACAGACATAATCCAAAACAGGCACTCATCAAGGGCACAAGCACTGGCCCAAATTATGCAACGGGTCAAAGCCCTTTCTCATGGAATTGCACTCCTATTGTTGTTGTTATTAGGTGCCATTGAGTCAGTACTGATTCGTAGCAACCCTATGCATAGGCTCAACAGAAAGAAACACTGCCTGGTCCTGGGCCAACCTCACATTTGTTGACACACTTGAGCCCATTGATGCTGCCACTTTGCCAATCCATCTCACTGGGGGTCTTCCTCTTTTTCTCTGACCCTCTACCTTACCAAACATGATATCCTTCTCTAGCGACTGCTCCCTCCTTACAATATATCCCAAGTATGAACAATGAAGTTTGGCCTGGCCTCCAAGGAGCACTCTGGCTGCACTTCTTCCAACACAGATCTATATGTTCTTTTGGCAGCCCATGGTACTTTCAATATTCTCTTCCAACACTGTAACTCAAAAGCATCAATTCTTCTACGGTCTTCCTTATTCACTGTCCAGCTTTCCCATACATAGGAGGTTATTGAAAATACCATGGTTTAGGTCAGGCACACCTTAGTCCTCAAGCTGACATCTTTGCTCTTCAACACTTTAAAAACGTCTTGTGCAGCAGACTTGGCTGGGAGGGGGAAGGGGCAAGACCAGGCCCCTTCTCACAGATGGGCACCCAAAGTATGACAATAAAGGGGGATAGACCAAGCTCCTTCTCATCAATATGCCCAGGGAGGGATAATGGAGAATGGGCTTAGCTCTATGGGCCTCTTGCACTGGCTGTGTGACCAAATATGAATGTAAATCTAGAATTAAAAAACTAGTATTTTTTTGTACAGCAAGGTCTTTAATGTCACGACTACCACAATTGACAGGCGAGTCAAGGCATTTTCCGGGGTACTTTTGACCAGTTGTGAGTTTTGATTTATTTGTGGTCTTCAGACCCCTTTCCTGAGCAAGGTGGGCCTCCCTCTGTTCTGTGCACCAACCTTTGGCATCTGACAACTCTCTGTTCTGTCTCCAACAGTTCAAACACCAAGGCACCATCATGGTGAACGAGGAGGGCACCCAGGCAGCCGCTGTGACCACAGTGGGCTTCATGCCACTATCTACCCAGGTCCGTTTCACCGTTGACCGCCCTTTCCTCTTCCTGATTTATGAGCATCGTACTAGCTGTCTTCTCTTCATGGGAAGAGTCAGCAACCCCCTCAAGTCCTAAAGGTGAAGCTCTGGGCAGCTGCAGCATTTTCACTGGCGGGGAAAGCTGTATTTGTGTGTCTATTCTAATGTGAAGACCAACAGAGATGTCTGACATCATGACGCTCATGATTTCCAGTACATATTGGAAATGAAGGCCAAAAGGTGAGAGGAGATTCACTAGCGATGGAAGAGCTCTTGAGAAACCATTCTGCATTGTTTATGGGGCTGGGAGTTGAGAGAATTGAATGGAAGCAGGCATTACCCGACAGGGTCTCAGCAAGAGAGCAAACTTCTACCCCTGCAGAGGAAGATCACAGTATGTGCTGTGCTCCTCAGACCCGGCTCCCCATCTGAACTCAACACCTAGAACTAAGTGGAGGAACTCCTTTCTTTGCTTTCCCAATGATGGTACAAAATCAGCACTGATCCCAAAGCGCAGGAGAGCAGAGACCTGGGATGGATGGAAGCAGGTCACCTGGGGCCTCAGGGTTTAAGCCTTAAGAGGCCCAGTCTTCCCATCAATGCTCAGTGTCATCTGTGCCTCTCCCTGTCCCCTCACTGCTGCCCAGAGGTTAGTGTGCCATGTTTCCCCCAGAGATAAATAAACATAACCACTTTCACCATCTGTTACAATTCTCTCTAGTTTTAAAGCTCAAGTAATGGGCAAAGTAAATTGTGAAAACAGGTGAAATGTATAGGCATGATACCCATAGCTGCTGAGGTGATTTGGACTAAAAATGAATTTCTAGAACAGGGTAGAACTGGTTTCAACACTTAACTAGCTGGGGAGGCATTGAGGCAAGTGACTTTTGGGTGTCTAGTTTCTCTGTCTATAAAATAGGAATAATAACAGCACTTCCTCTCAGGGAAGTTGTAAGGATTCCTGAGTAATAGCTGGGCTGCTGCTTACCTAAGTACAGGTAGTACCCAATCCAGGAGTTCCTAAATAGGGGTTCATGGAGTAGCTGCCCTATTAGCTTCCTAATGCGAAAGCTTGTGAATAAACAGATTTTTATGGAGCGAGAGAGAGTGCAAAGCTTTCAAAGGTGGCAATGACCTAAAATATGTTATTTCTACAACCTCATTTTGTGGGCACCAAGAGAATAAGCAACCTACCCAAGGTCAGAATGATGAGGGTAGCTAGGTCTCTAAGCAACAGAAACACTTCAAAATGTTTCACTAAGTAAAGGGCTAGATGCCAACAAGCAACTTCATCAGTGATATTTTATAAGTAGTATTATTCCAAGTCTAAGCATGGTGGGACCTCAGGGTTATTGCCCGATGGTTCCTGCAGGTTCCCAAAGTCCTGCTGATGTGCAAACTGCTGCATTAGGACCAGTCTCAGGCCCTTGTTCCCAGTCCACTGGTACTTCTACCACACAGAGTAATCAAAAAAAGTCTCTTTTTCTTAAAACAGAAAGCAAAGCATAAATGAAACCATGTAATGAAATTCACTTTACCAGAAGGTACAAAGGGTAACCGAAAGACAAATGCAAGAGCCCATGGTCTCTGTGCTCCTGGTTGGGCAAGAAAGTCAAATATTTGTTACTCCCTGCGCCCCACCCCCCATTATCTAACCATTAACTTCTATTAACAACACAGTATGTGGCCTATTCATGCAAGAGGTCACTGCAGTGGAGGAAACAGGAGTGTTTCAAGAGAGTGTTGACTGTCACATGCCAGCTGTTATAGTGCCAGTGACTGGGCGCCACCTCAGACCAGGCCCTGTGCTGGGCACCTCACAGGCAACACCTTCATCTTTACAGGACACCTTGTTGACAGAATAAGATCAGAGAAGCAAAGATACTCTCATGGGGTCACACAGCAGACACAGGAGTAAGCTCTAGCCCTGTTGCCCTCTAGAGCCCTGCAGATGTCCACTCTGCATTTATTTACCTCCACACAACAACTGCTAAACTTAAAAGCTGTCAGGAACAAGGGTCCTAGGAGTATGGTGTTCAAAGAACTCACTGATTTTAGTGTCACTGCAAATCACTGCCCTCTCAGCCTTAAAAAACAGTTCTCCCAGGGAACCAGTCAGCAGTGTGTTCGCCCTACAGAAGCAGGCCCCGCTCAAAGGCCCAGAGAATGCCACAGGTCTCATGTCCCGTCCAACCACACTTCTAACACATAACTGTACGGTAGCCAGGAATCACTATAAAGTAGGAAAAAATCTTTAAAAAAATTAACACTGGGAGGTTGTCAACTGAAAATACCTTTGTAAAGAGAGTCCCAACAAGCCCCAAATACCCGTGGGTGTAGTCATCTGATTACAGATACTGATTATAGAAACTGCAGGCCCCCCAACTACGTTTCTCCAAGGCATGCATGTGCTGCCAGCCATAAAGTTGGCAGTTGTTGGAACTCTGACGGGGAGAGCAAGACAGCAGACCAGCAGGATGTGTGCCGGCTTATTATTACACAAAGACAGTAAGAACCAGTCCATCTAGGCCAGGTGAAATTGGACACATATGTAAATGCTAAAGACAAACAACTGAAGGTAGAGTGGGTGAGGAAGTTCTGGGAAACATAAACAAGCCCTGAGGGAGGGAGTAGGTGAGGTAGAAGGGAGTGAAGTACACGTGGGGATACATACCAGAATTCAGAGGCCCTGCACTCAGGACTGGAAATGATGGAGAAAGGGGACAACTTCTATAGATGTTTCTATTTCAAATGACTGATTATACAAAAGAGTGTGTACTTCCCTAGTGTTGTCATTCCAAGGAAGAGCTGGGCTGGACTGAAAACAGGACAAGATAGGGAGGGAATCCTCACCACTGCTTGGCAGGACCCCACTGTGAGCCACAGTGGACAGGGGTGGGCCTGCAAGCTCACCCAGTCCACACCATGCCAGCAACTCTGCCCAGGAGACCAAAGGCTGCAACTCCAAACCCAAACCCCAATACGAGGGCACTTCAGCAGAGCAGGAAAGGCGGGTAAAGGTCTCAGCACTAGGTAAGACAAGATGAAAGCCAGGGTTGGAGGCAGCCTCAGAACAAGCTCTCTGGGATTCAGAGAGGGCACAAAGAGAAGGGAGGTACAAAGTGGCCATAGGCATCACACACACCACAGGACGACTGTGGAAAGGCATTTTCTTCAAGGCATCTGCTGGGTGTTCTCCAGGGACCTCTCATCATGTATCAGGAGTCTAAAATGAGGAAATCCATGCATACTCACCACAGCTATCACAGGAATGAGCACGCCAAGGTTTCCCGCACTGCTGGAGGCCTAGAAAAGAGTAGCAGGTGTCACTAAAAAGCACCAACTTCTCTGTCCTCAAACTACCAGGCAACACACCTGAGACTATGGCCTGGAATTGAGCTCACCCCTATGGCTCAGTTTTCAGTCAAACAACAGACAGGTCAATCAGGGGAACAATTAACAGTAGGAAGGCAAGCACACCTTAGAATAATCAACCATGTGAGAGCAAAACAGCAGCAGTTGCCTAAGAACAAAGTCCAGAAAGCAGGAAGGGTTAGGAAATGAGGAGAAATGGAAATGAAAGACAAAGGAGAAAGTCAAAAGATGGATCAATGAGATCAATGGATCAATGAGAACAAATAAAATGTACATGAATTGTTGAATGGAAAACTGTTCACCCAATTGGTGAACCTTCACCCAATTGACAACAGAAGAATAAAAACAACAAAAACATAACACAGCATTAGATAAAGACAGAATTTCTTAACCTAAAAGTCCTGGTATGATGCTGTGGGACAAAGCAATTAACTGCAAGGTGGGTTTAAACCACAAGATTGATGGTTCAAACTCACCAGCCGTTCCAGAGAAAACCTATACAGGATCGCTGATTTGACAGCACTAACAACAACAAAAGTCACAGTGAGGGATATATACAGAGATGTACGTTGTTATTAAGTGTCATGGAATTGGTTCCGACTCATAACAACTCTGTATAGAGTATCCAAGGAGCAGCTGCTGAGTCTGAACCATCATCCAGATGATATGGTTCAAACCAACCTTGCAGTCCAGTGCTTATCCTACATGTATAAAGATGTTTGTGATTTTAATAGAAACATAAATTTTACAGTCAAAAACAGAAATAACTTAAATAAGCCCTTCTCATGCTGTCATTATGCTCTGACAAAAAGTTTCTAACATCCACCCAAGGGTCAGCCACTGCCTCCAGTTTTGCCATGGGCGAGGAAGAAGGGAGGCATCCAGCCAGGGAGCTGCCATAGGCTGGAGACTTTTTTCAGAAGTAGAGTGCCAGGCCTTTCTTCCCCCAGCATTGCTTAGAAAGAAGCCTACTACCACCCACTTTCTGCATGTCCGCCTTTGTTCTTACCCATCCCTAAATGGGGAGACCCATGTCAGGTCAGCAGGTGCAGACCTGCAGGGTAGGACATACCTTCAGGGCAGGGCCTTTCTCGCTGGCCCTCTCACTGGCCCGTTTACCCTCCAGTCCCAGCTGCACAAACAGCTCCAGTAGGTTCATCAGCAGTTCGTCAACCAGGTGCTCATCCTGGATGTTGGCCGCGATGTTGGCCAAGGCGTTGATGACCGCCAAGGAGCAGTGCCTGAGGGGAGGGGTCATCATACTGGTGGGGAACAGCAGTCACCAGCACAGCACTGTCCTCACCCCTTAGCCCATTTCCAGGGCTGGACCCCATTCGGGGAGTTGGGCAAGCTGACCCTGGCCCCAGGCCCTGGCCTGCTCCTCCCCTCTATAAGCAAGGAAGACTCAAGAAGTGAGGAGGATGTCATCTTTGTGAAAATGATGACCACTAGAGGAAAGCCAAGTGCTTTAGGAATGACTTTCAACCTTTCATCTGAGACGCATCCTCAAGGGGAATGTTAAATTTCAGGGATCTGCATGTCTGGGGGTTGGTAATGGTCTGGGGACATTTTCCTCACAAATGTTGAAGGTATGAAGGTATATGACTACACAGTTAAACATGTATTCACTCCCATGTACTGCCTGCCTGGGTCTTGCTTTTCCTTCTCAAATTATGTTGTTGGCTACCACTGAGTCTGCCCTCCAACTCATGATGCTGCCAT